GTCTATCTGTCTGTCTATCTATCTCAGGCCCACCGGCTGCTTCTCGTCCTGCCTTCTCTCGCTCCATCTCAGTGACAGACGAGCGTTCCCTGAAGAAGATGGGAGTGACGACTGCGGCCATGTCTGACCCCTCTGCCTCCTCTGTGCCGCACGGTCCCCTTCGCCTCAACTCCACCCCTGAATGATACCTCAAGCACAGACACACAAATACAGTACAGTGTACAGTGCATACACACAGAAGCCACTGTCAACATTCACCAGAGTCATGTGATGTTATTTCTCAACCACCAACACACCACATGCAAACACTGATAATAACATAATTCTAAATGTAATTAGTTTATACGCTTTATCACTTTCTCTGGGGAGAGTCAGATGAGAAGATCAATACTTTCATATCTGTCAGTTAAATATAAATCTACAGTCAGCAGCTGGTTAGCTTATCTCAGCAGAAAGTGGGAACAGGAGGAAAAATCACTTATTAACACGTTTAACATCTTGTTTGATTAATCTGTACAAAAAAAGAAAATCTAAAAATAACATTATGGGTGTTGATGTACTGGACAATTTATGATTATAATATTATTGCATATTATATTATGAACTGAGCTGAATCTTTGTTTTTACATGTTTATGTTTGTTTGGATTAAACAAATAACGTCTTAATAAATTATCTTTAAATGTGCTGGTAGGTGGATTTTGGAACCATTAGACAGAGTGAAGCTAGCAGGGGAGGAGGGGTTTCTTTGTTTTTGTGATAAGCTAAGCTAACTGGCTGCTGTCTCGTTTATCATACAGATATGAGAACGGTATCGATCCTTTAATCTAACTCTCTGGCAGAGAGCGAATGAGTGTATTTTTTATTAAATTAAATTATTTATTTCTTCTTATGTACATGTAGTTGGTGCATGATACAATCAGACAAATGCCGCACAAACGCACAATATTACACAAACCTTATGTGCCTACTCAGATCATTTCTACTGTTGTCATCGAAAAGCCTTCCATTGTATTCAGACATGGTGGAACTCAACGATCACCAGCAGGGCTCTCCGATTGTTTCCCAGCCCCCGGCCAGCAGCCTACAGACAGATGCATAAGGAGTTTAATAGAGTGGATCTAATGAGAGAGCAGAGGAGAACTGGGGAGGTTGTCAATGCTATGGATCTTCTCCCCTCTCCACCTCAGCCAATAGGTCAGACCAGGTGTATTGACAGAGGGCAGTGAAGCGTTGTATTGGTTCCTTGATCATTTAGCTGAGAGCTGCAAAGGGGTCAAGCCAGGGATATTATGAGTCAATGATATGAGCATTTATAAGACTATCAACTTAATTTTTTAATGAACATTTAGAGGAAAAAATGGTTCTCATCATCAGGAATCAATGATGAAATAATACACTTTGCTGTTGCCTTATTTGTAAAAAAAATATTCAGCTTGAAGAAAGTATGAAAATTAATCAAATGTAAAATGTATGTGAAATGACACTGTTCAGTCTTTTGTAATGGATTTTTATCAATAAATTCACTTTCTTTCTAGGGAAAAGATTCACTAGTGTCCTGAAAATGGACTCACTGCACACATTATCAGCCATGTTTGATCAGTATTGACCTGTAAAGATGGACCAGCTGCTGGCACATCACAGCACTCACATGTAATCTACTCACCAATTTCACACTTGTGTGCCATGTGGAACCAGCTCCAGCAGCAGTGGACATGAAAAGAGGCAGCCACTTGGTCCAGCCTGGTTTGGCTCTGTAGCTTGTGGCAGTTTTCTCTCTGCAAGTCAGCAGAGGAGAATAATGAATGTTTAACAGATGCGGGGTTGTGAGTTGGGCGTGTGTGCATGTCTGTCATCGCTGTATCATTGTATTGTTCAAGACTTCAGGACAAAAGCCCAGGCTTGTCACGGACAGACTTGGAAGTTCCTGTGACTGACAGACATGGCAGATTCTTTCAAATGGTGCACTAAATAGCTCGCATTATGGGGCTCATTATGGCTTCTTTTATCCATACAAATCAGGAATCAGCATGACAATTTGTTATTAACTTCCTGACAAAGGGCTTACAGACATGCATTCACATACACACACAAACACATAAACACATGCACACAAAACTCTTTCTCTCAATGTCTCTTTTTACAGTAGCAGCAGGAGGCTGATATAAAAGAGCAAGTGCTCAACACAGCCAGGAGTGTTCACAAGTACTGCAGAGGGAGCACAAACTGCCGGCTGCACTGCATTAACATTACCTCTTTCTCTTTTACTTCTTTGTCTTTCCATTAAATTTTCTCTCTCATTATTGCCATCTCAACTATTCTTCTCCACTCCTCCTTTCTCTCCTTTATTCTCCCTCTCTCATTCTTGAAATCTCCCTTGATCTCCCTTTCTTTCACTCCTCTTTATCTATGTGTCCTCATCTCCGTTCCTCAAGAGGGCCTCTAAAGAAGATGTACTGTGTTCATTATATGGAAATGTTCCCCATGGTACATTATCATAGATCCTGACCCTGTAGCGCTGAATCATCCTGCTATTCCCAGTTCGCCCATCAGACCCCACAAATAGCATGGTAGAGGAAAGACGGGACGCTCTCCTGAGCCAGCTGCACCGTTGTCGCCTGTGCTGAAAGTGACTGTACAGTAGAGTACAGTCACTTTCATGTGAAACCTTGAGCTGGACACCTATGGGCACGGAAGAGAGGACAGTGGAAAGACACTGGGGAAAAAGTAAGAAAAAAAAAGAATAGGAGATCAAGGAAAGAGACCAAAATGAGCAATAAAGAACACAATTTAGATAGCAAGACATTTTTAACAAGCAGAAAGTTGAGCCAGAGTCAACTTATTCTGGTAAAGAAAAGAACAAAAAGCATGTGTGTGTATGTCTGTACACTCTCCTTCACCTCAATGGCATATTGCCTAACCACACTGATGTACGAGCTTCTCCTCCAGATCAATACATGCTCTCCATTCACTAGACAGACAGTAATGCAACCGCCTCATTTGTTTGACGATGTGTGCGCATGCATATGTGTGTGTGTGTGTGTGTCCCCATTTCCTCACTATGCACTCCGCCGTTAAAGGAGAGTGACCATTAAGTCACATAGTTTAGCATGTCGCTAACTTAATTGCTTAGTCCACATGCTGACATTGATTTAATATGGGTTTAATACGTGTGTGTGTGTGTGCGTATGTGTGTGCGTGTGCGCAGTTGCATACCTATCCAACAGTGGACTTCTGCATGGTTACACATTCACCACTGAACTAACGACCCAACAGGGGACATTTTGGAGGTCCACTGTTGGTCATGCTTAAATCTTGTCTAAGACCCTCTGGTGAGTTTATTTTAATTTTAGCCAGGAAGGGACCTGCATGCTCATACTCAGCACTGCCCCTGCAGGCTGAAGGGATTTCTCCATTGCGTGAATGGCTTGCAACTGCTGGCAGGTTTTCAGACTACAGGGGGGCTATTATTTTTTCCTTAAATATGATTTTTTATTATCTCTTTGTGAAATAAAATGTAAAAAAGACTCAACTTTAGTGGACATTCTATCTACACATAAAAGGGTTAGCAGTACAATCACTTATTTTGATTAAAAACACATCTAACACCAGGTAGGTAACATTCTTTGTTGCCCCTCAAACCTACCTGTGTAGAAATGTGTAGAAATTGTCTTTGGGGATTGAGCAGTAAAACTCTCAGACCCAATTCAACTAGCTCTCACACACACACACAAACTAAAACATTTTAGTGCTGGGATGGAAGATTCATATTTGAATAACCATGTATTTTTTATTCTTTAAATATATTCTACTAGTGCTAGTTCCTCACATAACATGTAGCAAGAAATGGGTGAGATTTACAAGTTAAGTTCACAAGTACATCACTAAACTTAACAAAGTAGTTTTATGTTTGTCCTAGCCACACATTAGCCACATTTTAGACTTCTAAAGTAATGAATAAACTAGTAATGGGATAATGTTTTTTTATCAGCAAGTAATGCTTGTGTGTGTCGTGTGAGAGGTACATAAATTGAGAAACATCACATGTTTTTATGTCACAATTCTAATGGGATCAAAAAATTATTTATTTCTCACTGTTGACTATAAAAAGAGGTACTTTGCCTCTCTATAATAATAGTCCACTGTTGGTAATGTAGGAATGTGTGAGAGAAAGACAGACAGACAGAGAGAGAGAGAAAGAGAGAGATAGAGAGATAGAGAGAGAGAGAGTGAGGGAGGGAGGGAAGTGGTTGTACAGTTACACAACCCTTACAGAATGAGTGTTAAGCAATCTAAAGGGCGACTTAATGTTTATTACTGTAATAATATTGTACGAATATTTACCTCCCATTGTGTAGTTATCTGTGTCTGATATGGCGTGTGTGTGTGTGTGTGTGTGTGTGTGTGTGAATTCCCACGAGTCTTGCATAAGACTAAACGGTGAGGCCAAGATGCTTGTGTTCCCTCATTACTCTGTCAGCAATACAGTTTTTAGCCCACTCAACCACATAAATGACTTCAAATCCTCTGTGTATTAAGCCTCACCACTGGGAACCCAATTTGTAACCTCTGCCCAGTAATACGTTAACTGGCCTTTATCTGGGGACAGGCAGAGTGTAAAATTCATACAGTATCTGAGAGAACTAATTGAACCAATTAAGAAAGTGAATATGGATTACTGTGGGACTGTGAACACACACGTCCCCTCTGGAATAGAGTTGGAGACCACTGCTTTCACGCGATAATGATTGTCATTGCAAATGGATGGCGGTGCAGGGTCTCAGTGTGCTGAGCAACAACTCTCCCAGAGTCGGCTTTGCATTTACACTGATGTGTTTTCATTTCCTTAGCAGCTGATCCCAGGGCTGCTATTCTGGGCAGTAATTAATTGCATGCGGGTAAAGGAAAAGTCAAGGATAAGTGTTAAAACTGTTCCTTGCCTTGTACGTACTCTCACATCACACACAAACACGAAGGCAGCGCTCATTTTTCACACAAACACACATTTGCTAGAGGAAACAAAAAGCAAATGAATATAAACAAGAAGATACGCAGAAAGTTGCACAAAAATAAGAGCCCTGGGTACTTCATGCTTTAAATATCTTAATCAGCAAGCCCATAAAGCCTCCCGATTTTAATTGCCCCACCATGACTATTAATTACATAACAGCCATTGCAGCGAGTGTGCCCATATGTTTGCTAATAGGAGAGGATGGATTAGAATAGCGAGTGGAATACATTAGAAAACAATGGTTTTTATTGATCTACAAAGGTGGAATTACATTTCCCCTCCAGGATGTACATACAAACAACAGCATTTTTTTTACATAAAACAAATGGCAGGAGACATTTCATAAGCTGAGAAAACAATGTACCGTATTATTGTAAAGAAGCTTCATAAGACAAGATTACTGTAAAACAAGAGATACTTCAGCTGTAAGGACAAAGTACCATATTGCTGTGAAACAAAGGATGTTTTATAGGCTGTAGGAACAATACACCACATTGTTCTAAAACTGAAACACTGTTTCTGAAGGGGCGACACATACAGTGGGGAAGCGTTGATTGGCAGCCAGTTTTGACTCACAAATGGGTTGAGTGTATGGAGGACCGCAACTGCCAAAATCCAAAATAAATAAATTACTCCAAAAATTCATAAATATGTAATTAAATGCATCAAATGTAATATTAAAACAAATATATGCATCAATTAATTCATAGAATGTGACATACATTGATATTTCTGTTTTAATTTGCCTCTGTATTTAGTGTATTAATTCCCCTATTAATTTACTTTCCCATTTAATTTTTTATTTATTAATGTATTAATGTAATGTAATGTAGTGAGTTGAGGACCAGCGGGAAAAACTGAAAATATTTTTCCATAAAATAAATCCACATAGATGTCGATCAACCGACAGACGAAAGGTCATATCACATCACACACCTTAAATGACGCAGAACAAGAAGTCCATACAGAAATGTAAAAAACAAAACACAGAAATAAATAAGTTTTGTAAATCCTGCGAACCAGCGTTCGATCAACACCACAGACAGAAGGCAGGAGCGCCAAATTTATCAACAGTAATCCGGCAGCCTGCCCTGGACTCAGCGACCACAGACTAATATTTCCAACTATCAAACATCAAAAATAGCTTTAGCCAGCCCACACTAACAAATAAACACTGTGTCTGACAGTTGTGTAGCATACACAGTTGTGTGTCTGACTTACAGGCCATGTTGACAGGTCGCTCCTGACTGTACAGTGGGACACAGGCAGATGCTTGTCAACAGGTGATTGGTCCTTCAGTGACAGTCGACTTGCACATTGGAGCTGAAGTACCCTTTCATTTCTCCTGGTTCACCTGTCACTTTTGTCCCTACTGGAATTTACACTTTTGCAGGCTCCTTGGTTTTACTTTTTGTTTGTCAATGAGCACCCAGGCTTTATTTCTTTTGTTAAGCTGCCCTTTCTGTTCACTTTGACCTGGTTTTGGTTCAGGGTTAAGGGCACACTAATGTACTTCTTTTCCCCTGTT